CTATCCCCATACAACATGATACACAACACCACAAATATCTATCCCCATACAACATGATACACAACACCACAAATATCTATCTCCATACAACATGATACACAACACCACAAATATCTATCCCCATACAACATGATACACAACACCACAAATATCTATCCCCATACAACATGATACACAACACCACAAATATCTATCCCCATACAACATGATACACAACACCACCATGATCTGTAAAGCTATTAAGAGTATACTATATTCTATGTATAACTATTTAAATTCTTCATCCTTGCAATAGCTCTTCACTCGGGCACTAGCCGGGCTTTTATTTCGGTCCCGACTAGTGAAAGTGGGTTTTCTCGAGTACTCCCGTTTTCGCCCACACCAAACTCTTAGGCATTGGATCTATAAATCCCAATCATGGCACTTGGGTCCATTGATCCCCGCCAGGCCCTGTACAAGCCAGTTTGCTTCGGTTTATTTCAATACTTTGTCAACAATCGTTCTCGACTTGTTTCTTTTGCAAAAACAACCTGCCTCTGCTACGCCTTCACTTCCGCCCACTTGCCTCAATATTACCACCAGTGCATGTATGTATGTATCTAATCTTTAACCTCGAGCAGGGTGAAGGGGAACTGCTAATCTTCGAACACTCTTGGTGATTAATAGTTTATTAACTATTAACTTTACACCAAAATAACTGCCATAGACACACTGACCCGAAGAAGAAAGGCGGAATACTTTCAGAACGTCGTCCTCTACACTTGTGTCTCTACAACAAGCAGTTGCCGTCCATTCTACAAAGTTTCATCATAGTTACTAATATTGGTAGTTTAATATAACGTTCTAACAATGAGAACTTACGATGATTAGAAAGGATTACTTCATTATTTGGATATCCTATCTGTTAGTCATTTTTGTTCAAGTCCCAATAATATCTTACGAGGTTTCGTCATCCTAGGAAATTGCCTCCTAGTGGCACAGCGGTATGTCTCAATACCCGTGATAGGCAGAGCAGTTTGTTTGTTTTGAATTTCGCGCAAAGCTACACGAGGGTTATCTGCTCTAGCCGTCCTTAATTTAGCAGTGTAAGACTAGAGGGAAGGCTACTAGTCATCACCACCCACCACAAACTCTTGGGCTACTCTTTTACCAACGAATAGTGGGATTGACCGTAACTTATAACGCCCCCACGGCTGAAAGGACGATCATGTTTAGTGTGACGGGGATTCGAACCTGCGATCCGCAGATTGCGAGTCGAGCTCCCTAACCACCTGGCCATGCCGGGCCTGGTAATCAGAGCACAGATAGCCCTTTGTGGAGCTTTGTGCTTAACTTCAGACAAGTCCTAGGAAATATGTTTTGTACGTTTTTATATTGGCGTTTGATATAGAAAGTAATTTCGTATCTCGTATTTCTGTAGCACGTATTTTGGTAAAGAACTGGATCGTGTATTTGCATTTTTGCCACAAATAGGTAACTTCTAATGTATAATGTTTTTAATAAACATGGGAAACGTCTTATTCATAGCTGTTTTAACTAATGAAAACAAGCTAACAACTTTACGAGCGTGATGTTGTTTTCTATCCTCATAGATACATATATATAAGGTTTTGTTTGTTTGTATGATAATAAATACAAGTCTGCACAATGGGCTTCCTGTGTTGTACCCACCGCAAGTATCAAAACCCGAATTTTAGCATTATAAGCCCTCAGACTTATCCCTGATCCACTAGATGGCAGGGAGTTTTATAAGCCAATCGGTGTCTGGGTATTCCTTCTACGTTTAGCCAGAAAGGTCACTTTTGATTATCAACTGATGATTTTTTTCTTCTTTCATTTTTATAAATACAGGTTTTTAGATTTTCACCGAAAGAAAAACGAACAAATGTATTTTATTTGCATTTATTCTCAATAACTAAAACAAGAAAAACGAATCGTTCAGCCAATTATCAGGTTTTTATTTTCTGTTGTTTAAGAATGAGACACAAAAATGTTTCAGTTTACAAGGCTTTTTGTGACATTGAATACAGTTAACTCAGACAAACAAGTCCAACAGAAACTGTTAATCTACCGGAAATGAAGTGGTTAAAATAATAAGCAACGCCTTAAAAAGGCCATTAACAAGCACAACTCTTTACACACGGATCCAACTATTTCACCTGCAGTTAAGATGACGAAAAGATTCTGTATCTAAATTCTTACACATTGAAAGCAATATTTATCAAGAATGTTTGAACAACGTTTATTCTTATTTCAGCTTATTACTGAAAACTATCAAAGTCTGATAACGATGTATTAACACTGCAAGAAAATCCGCATTTGATTTAATTATTGAATCAATACCAAAGAATCCCAAATCACCCGAAACATCCATTTATTTTTAGACCTGTAATATAGTTCATGTAAATGTTTATTCTTCATATATTTTCCAGCTTTCACTATTCTAACTGTACTTCAAGGTCTAAATAGCATAGGGGTTCCAAAACTGGGGCCGTAGGAATGTTTCAGAGGGGCCTTAGCAAATACAACGTTCTTGTGCTGAGAAAGATTGGGAACCGCTGTAATAGCACACATGTTTATTCGATAAAAATATATCTGACGTCATCGCAAAGAAAAGGGCATTATACACACATACATACTTAGTCCCGTTATTGCAAGCATCATGTTAGCGTCTGATCAAAATTTTATACTATTAGTTTCTGTTACTGCAAGCATCTTTTTAGCGTCTGATCAAAAACTTATACTATTAGTTTCTATTACTGTAAGCATTATGTTAGCGTCTGATCAGAAACTTATACTATTAGTTTCTGTTACTGTAAGCATCTTGTTAGCGTCTGATCAAAAACTTATACTATTAGTTTCTGTTACTGTAAGCATCTTGTTAGCGTCTGATCAAAATTTTATACTATTAGTTTCTGTTACTGCAAGTATCTTTTTAGCGTCCGATCAAAACTTATACTATTAGTTTCTGTTACTGTAAGCATCTTGTTAGCGTCTGATCAAAAACTTATACTATTAGTTTCTGTTACTGTAAGCATCATGTTAGCGTCTGATCAAAAACTGATACTGTTAGTTTCTATTACTGCAAGCATCTTGTTAGCGTCTGATCAAAAACTGATACTATTAGTTTCTATTACTGTAAGCATTATGTTAGCGTCTGATCAAAACCTTACACTATTAGTTTCTGTTACTGCAAGCATCGTGTTGGCGTCTGATCAAAACCTTACACTATTAGTTTCTGTTACTGCATGCATCGTGTTGGCGTCTGATCAAAAACTTACTATTAGTTTCTGTTACTGCAGCATCGTGTTGGCGTCTGATCAAAACTGATACTATTAGTTTCTGTTACTGCAAGCATCGTGTTGGCGTCTGATCAAAACCTTACACTATTATTTTCAGTGTCAGTTAGTTTCGGAGAGAAAATAATATCAGTGTCATATTGTTCCAATTTCAATAAAGTAGAATGATTTAGGCCTAGGAAGAAGCACAGATGTAGCATTTCATACAAGAGATTTAATGGGATTCATTTATGTTCAGTTAATTCAAATACGCACTTATATTTGTAACATAAGTACGAAATTCGTTCTCATTGTGTGACACACCTCGACTGCTCTGTCAGTCCGTGGAAAGATGTCATTAGACTACTAGCAGTTCCAGTTAGTTGTGGTAAGATGAACACTTCCTAATGTGGTTATAATACAACTTAAGTTACCTTCTTTCGTTAGTTACTAGTAACTTCAGATTCTTCAGAATGAAATAGGTGACGATATTTTTCGTATTTTATCTTTTAATGGTCAGACAGTTGTACTGTTTGCATTTAACCGATTTCTTCTGCAAACGTTTCAGGAAATTGGATTTCAACAATAACATTGACTTAAGGTACAGTTATTGACACATAAATTATACAAGCTAAAAGTATCTTCTCACGACACAGTTAATGAAGCTTCGCTGACCACTGTCTTATTTTGTAGTTGTTAACACGCAATTTAAATGAAAGCTCCCACTTAACATCAGTTCACCAACAGGTAGCGTTATTTGTCGATGGCAGTATAGTAGTCCTACTTCTTAAACTGGAAACCAACTTGCACTGGGTTCTCTTGCCAGAACCGCAAATCAATTGAGGGAAGGTCTTTACAAAGTAGGCGGGGGTTGCTAAAGAGAGAAAACAACAACTGGTATTAGAGTCTCGTGAATTGTAGCCTAAACAGATTGTAGTATACAAAATTAATCTGGTCACATCTCTAAATGATCAATGCGGTGAAAATATGAGGTAGACGCCATGTTTATCCCATTTACGCTATTCGAAGTAAAATTCGGAGTTGTTTGGTCCCAAGTGGATGGCAGAAAGCAAATCAACTGCGCAGTAAGTCCTTCACCTGGATATATGTGTCAGGCCATACAGGGGTAAGCTAAAGAAGAAAGCTGACAATCACGCAAGACAAGAAAAGCCCCTTTATCAAATCCAGCATAACTCTACTGGAAGGATATCGACTTTCTGTGCACTAGCAAAGCAAAGACGGTGGAAGGTTTTAATCAACATTTAATGGGAATAAGACTGTTGAAAAACAAAGTACAGGAAGGAAGGTGTAGTTAGGAAAAGATGGGAAAGTAACTGGACAACAAATAGACACCGGTAGCATGAACAAACGAGCCTCTCTTCTATAACTTCCCCTCATCAGGGAACAGCGTCTGTCGGCAAAACTCTTGGAACTGCCACCTACAGTGCTCATAAACTCAACTAAACCTAGAAATGCTTGATCATATACGTTTTATGAATATCATATTTTATTTTTTCAAAAATTCGTGAATCTATGGAGATAATTAAATGTAAAAAAAGTAAATTTAAATTATTGAATAAGGATGATGGACCTGATGGAAATGTTGTCAATAGATGGCGTGAAATTCTTTAATATCTAAATCAGTGTTTTAATAATTGTATAAATAAGTGTTATTTTTTGCAAAACATTACACTCTTGAGAATGACTCAAGATATACGTTGAAAAATGTAGAGTGTATGAGATTGTTTTCCAGTCTCATCGGTTTTTTTACCACTTTTTAACCTTGTACAGCAAGTTATTATTTTAGTAATTTGGAGACTGGAAACGATCTCATTTTTATAGAATTTTGTATAAAATAATCGTCGTTTTTAAAAAGTTTTTACTTTTAAGGTCATATCTCATGTTATAAAACACGTTACATTCTTCTAGCACATTCGATGTGCTCTTATTAAAAGTGTTCCAGGTAGAACGAATATGGGATAATGTCTTCACCTTTCAGTAATGTTTATATCTTGTAGTAAGTATAACTTATGAGGTCGAGTGAGTAAGTGCTATGACGAGAAGTAATTACTTACTTTTAAACCCATTGTGCATTTAATATAAAACAAATGTAACGTTAATAGTTTATAAATTACGCTGTTATATAAAAAAGGAGTGAATTCCAATAAACGAACATTGAATATTGCACATCTCATTGGTGTCACGGGAATTGCGTTGTTTTTATTGTAATTAGGCTTAAGGTGTAATTGTTGCTGTGACGGGAATTCCATTGTGTTTAGTGTAATTAGGCTTAAGGTGTGATAACAACTGCATAAAGCTATCACAGTTTGTTACAAATACAACGTGCTTAAATTTTAAAAAATGTAAAGGAGAATCTTGTATTTTAAGAAGAAAACCGGGACAGACTATTTCACTCACTAGATGGGGTGAGCCAACTGCATGACGTAGGGCTGAATAGTTGGCAGATCATCAGCGTTTTCACATATCAGCTTAGCCTGGGAGGCTTTCCTGATCTCCTGAAGTTGTTCTGTAACATTAATATAAAACTATCAATATATTCAGATAAGTGAAATATATAAGTAATTATGCTAATACAAAAATAAACGTAAGGTTAACCACAAAATGCTATATCATGTAATATTATTGTTCTACGACAAATATCACACAATTTTGTATCAGGTAAGATCATTTTAAAAGCATAAATCATACATACAATCTTGTATAGGTAGTTAAAGTATATAGATACTAACCACAGTACGCTGTGTTAAGTAATAGTGTATTTATACAAACTAACACTGCACATTGCATTAAGTAATGTAATTATACAGACTATAAAACCACAATGTTGTGTTAAGTAATGTAATTATTATGGCTGATACGATAGTATTGTTACGTATCTGCTCGTTTGTTAGTTTCCAGTATAAATTATTTCTAAGGAACTTCAGCGATACAAGTCCTTTCTTAATTAAAACTAGTTTATTCTTTCTCGATACAACTTTGTAATACACAGAATTTCCACAGTCACTTTAAACTTAACAACCTTTATAACACACGCTATAAATCGCAGTGATTCACACACTTTACTTACGGTGCCTACTGTTCGCTTGATTCAGTTATCTCTCTCTGACTTTTATTTGCCGGGCTTATATACTAAAAAAGAAGGCGTCCCGAACAAACTAGGAAATTCACGATCATTCGAGAAACTCCTCAGCAGCGTCACGTGACTTCCGCAGTATTAACAGTATTTAGATATTGATACTGTGATACGATACGTATCTAGATTCAGAAGTTTGACAGTCTTGTCTGTAATTTACTATCTATATTACTAACATTGTCTTATTTAAGTACTTCACACTTTACAGTACTTTTCAAAGGGCAATAAAACAATAAAATTCAATTAAAAACAGATGTATAATGTTAAAAGCTTTAAGTTATTTAGTGTAATCAAATGTAGTTTTCTGCTACAATTTGAAGTAATTCTAGAAAGAAAAAAGGATAATTTTTATTTATTTTGTATTTTTATGGTGGTTACGAGGCTAGTCAATCTGACCGACTTCACATAAAATTAGGGTGGTGAATATAGCTGAAAAATTATGAAGATTTGTCGAAAAAAAAAGTTGGAAATTTATTTCGGAGGTTTTTAGAGCTTACAGAAAATATATTTGTTAATTTTTAGATGTAGAAAAGTATTTTCAATTATAACAGAAAAATCGCTTTACACTCGAGCAGTGATTACTCTGACTCCATATATTAAAACATTCATTTTTAGCAAAAATACTTTATTAGAATAGTTATAATGTTTACTGAAAGCTTGCCAAATTTCGTAAAGATACATAAATCGTATCGGACGATGTATCGATACAATCGTATCACGGCCTCACGATACGATACTCGTATCGCTACACCTCTAATAATTATACAGCCTCAAACAACAGAACGTTGTGTTAAGTAATGTAATTATACAGACTCTAACAAGAGAACGTTGTGTCAAGTAATGTAATTATACAGACTCTAACAACAGAACGTTGTGTTAGGTAATGCCATTTTACAGTATTAACGATACAATATATTTTTACCAATGAACACCTAAATAGCATCCACAGAAGTTTGTCTTACATTATTTGAATAGATAACCCTTCAGACAAAAGAGGCAAATGGATAAAACCCCCTAAAATCTGATCAGATAATGCATTGTGTCATCTGGACTAAAAATACAAACATTACACATCCATTGATCTGAGGTATTCTTACAACTATTCATTAAATTTTAAACATTTTTAAAATTTTAAACTACAAGCAATGACCACACACAGGAGCGTCTAGAGCCAGCACGGCTCCCCTTTTTCTCTCTCTTTTTTAACATTTTTTAAGAACTTACTAAGAATAAGATCCTAAATTTGGACACCAACAAATTCATAAACAAGGACAAATCATAGCAGCAGCTGTTTTTACCTCAAAGTATAAGCGTAAAAACGTTAATAAAGTAACAACAAATATCTATTAAATCTAGAAAGTAACAACTATAAATTAATCGTTACTCAAATTTATATTTTAGTCATTCTTAATGTATCAAGCGTCTATATGCAAAAAAATGACAAAAACTATGTTTTTTTTTATTAAATGAGGATAACCAGGTTTCATTCGTCCGTGCCCCTGGGCAGTTGCCCTCTTTGCATCCCCCTCCTCCTTTTGGCGGGCCTGACCACACATTATACAGTATAGGGTATGCACGTGCTATTATTTCGTTACCTCAAATCTACGAAAGAAGTAAGCAGATTTCAATAATGACAATAAAAGCATTGACAGCTTTATTCTGTTTTATATTACTATGACAGAAATAATTTATGCTCCTTATTATTCACTTTTCAGAAGTCAGATTCTTTAATACTGATCAAATTAACATGTTAAATCTTCCACTTAATATAATGGTAAACAAATACATTTAGTAAATTTTTTTTTCACAAATTTGTCAGAAATTTGTTGTTGTTTATTTGGTTGAATTTCGCGCAAAGCTACTCGAGGGCTATCTGCGCTAACCGTCCCTAATTTTGACGTGGTTGTCTAGATCAGTGCTTCTCAACATTTCCCAATATTATTCACCCCTATCAGTTTTTCACTCCAGTTAGAAAAAAGACAAAAAAGTACTAAATTAAAATGGAAAATTCTATATTATAACTTAAATATACATTAAACTACAACTAGAATGAATACAACATAAAATATACAAAACCCTTGGGTGAACCATTCACCCAGTTGAGAAGCACTGGTTTAGATGGAAGACAACTAGTCAACATCACTCGCTGCCAAATCTTTGGTTTTTCTTTACCAACGAATAGTGGGATTGACCGTACATTATAACGCTCCAATGGCTGAAAGTATGTTCGGTGACGGGATTCGAACTCGCGTCCCGCAAACTGCGAGCCGAGTGCCCTTACCACCAAGCATTAGTAAATATAAAGTAGTTTGAGTTTCTTGTAGTCCTAACTATCCACAGTAAAGTACTGAAAGAACTCCGCGACACTGGATCAAAATTGATTTTTCGGTAAATCCAAACTTACATGATATACTAAAAAGAACATATGCAGGAAATAAGAAATATGTTACCTGGGGTGAAAGCGGAAGGGAATCCTGAATTCTCGTACCAGAATCGGTCACCACGTCTGATGTTGTCAAACTGACGGGCTAAAATACAAGCAAAAGTTGGACCAATCATAGCTCCCGGTAGAAGGTGCTCAGAAACTCCTGCACTCCAAAGGTCGATATCGTCAGGATGACTGTATTGCAAAATATAACAATTTCAATATATAACTAAAAATTAAATAAACAAATGAAAGACTATCTGCAATTATATATATTTTTTAAATGGTGAGAGATAAACGTAATGTAAAATAAAATGTTCATTATGAATATGCATTGAATGATTGCATTATTGGGATCCCTCTCTCACATACTCATTTGTAAAGCACTTTTTATTTGCACATGCCAAAAGAAACTGATCATGTGACGAGGAAACTCATGAGGTACTACTTGGTTCTTCTTGTTTTTTTTTTTCTAGCAGTTCTAGCAACTGAAGATGATCTAATGATGCAGGGAACGTTCTTCTGAGAGGGGTTGGAACTTTTGTTTCGTTTACAGTAGCAAATAGCATCTAGGGTGATGTATCATACCAGAAAGTTAATGCAACAAGACACTTCTCTTATATTGTCCAAAACGTGTTTGAAGAACACGAAAGTGTCTTTCACTAGTCATCTTCCTTGGCCAACTTTATTTTCAGATTATAATCCGATTGTCATCTTTGGGATAAGCCTGTATTTTGCAATCGTCACCATAATTCTTTGCCTATATTTAAGAATTAGTTGCAGACCAAACTCTTCACCTCATGGAAAATCTTTAACAAAGAGACCTTACAGAATATTGTGGGGTCTATGTCACTCCGGGTTCAGGCTGCTATCATAAAAACAGGTAGTCCATCTTGATATTCGATGGTGATAGCCCTAATAAAGTAATCAGCAGTACGTTTATAAAAACTGAAAGTTTTTTCGGATATTTGAAAATTATTACACGAGGAACTGATTTTGAACTGAGAAAAGGCAGCCAAACTAGCAGCACCTAACAACATATGACGTATACCGTTTCCATGGCCCCAATGTTTGGGGCATGATTTTGGAGCAGTAGATCGCGAAACACGGACCCTCGGATTCAACATCACTAGGCCATGCCCGACCCAAAGCTAATAGTAAAGTCAAAATAGATCTAACTATTCCAGTATCAGATGTGGTCCTCATCAGTGCCACCTGAACTCGAAATGTTTCCATTTTAAAAAATTATAAAATCATAATGAGAGTAAAAACATTTTATGCCAAGCTGTATGGAAGCTTCGTATCTAGATATACATAAAGGCTAACAAAGATCAAATCAAAGGTTGTATTATTTGACTAGATAATGCAATAATGAAAGTTTTAATAGTGTAAATTGATGTCATTTTAAAAATCAGCATTTTCTTAAAGTATATTTCCATACTTGGTTATATATTCAGATTTCTAGCACAATATAACAAAGGTTTTAAACCGAGGATATTAATAAGCTGGAAAAATGGCGGCGAAAGAAGTTAGCAAAGAATGGTGTGGCATTTAATGTGAAATATTGTATTGCATGCCATTTTTACTGTGCTGGATTGATATAACAAAATTTTCGTAAATTTTCAAAAGTGACTAGATCAAAATGGAGTTGTAGCAACAGTCGCTACGAAGAAAGTCAGCAGTCACGGCTTGGCGACAGTGCTACGGACTTAAGTAAGCCTATTTTTAGGCTCATTAGCGTAACAGATAAAGGGAGATTAAAAATAATACCGCAGTGATTTCAGTACTGTATGAAAATGTAACATTTAGTTTCTCAGAAATATGAGCTTATCCAATGGGTCAGCAGTAAAACTAAAGGCTTATAACACTAAAAACCTGGTTTCGATACCCGTGGAGGGTACAGTACAGGTAGCCCAGTGTGTAGCTTTGCGTTTAACAACAAACAAACAAAAATATGATGAATTTTAAATCAAGTAAAGATGTTTTTGAAAGAAGTGTGTGATCATAAAAAATTAAAAATTGAAAAGTTTTTTAATAGAGGAGATTCCAAACTTGACATAAAGAGTTAACGAAGTTGAACAAGACAGTTAGAACCAAAATCATGGGATTTTCTGAACATAGACATCACAGTGGATCTAATGACATAGAAACATAGGACAAGTAAAAAAAAAGACCAATAATAGTAAGATTTAGCAATATGCCACCATGAAAAATTAACAATGAAGGAAGCAGGCATTGTGAATAAAGAACACTATATATATATATATATAAATTTCTATCACCGTTTTTAAGGATTTCATAAGGCAAGGAATATTAAAAGGAAAAAAAATTATAAATTCTTATGGGTTAAGATTGGTAGAATTTTTATCAGAAAGGATGAATATATGAATGTTATATACATCACAAATGAAAACTATCTCAAAATATTGTAATGTATTCATATTTATTCTTGATGATTTTAATAATTTAAGTAGTTTCAACTATTTAGATTTAGCCCCCCCCCCCCTTCTAATGTCTCAGCGGCCCGGCATGGCCAGGTGGTTAAGGCGTTCGATTCGCAATCTGAGATTCGCGGGTTCGAATCTCTGTCACACCAAACATTCTCGCCCTTTCAGCCGTGGGGGCGTTATAATGTGACGGTCAATCCCACTATTCGTTGGTAAAAGAGTAGCCCAAGAGTTGGCGGTGGGTGGTGATGACTAGCTGCCTTCCCTCTAGTCTTACACGGCTAAATTAGCGCAGATAGCCCTCGTGTAGCTTTGCGCGAAATTCAAAACAAACAAACAAACTAATGGCTCAGCAGTAAGTCTGAAGGCTTGTAATGCTAAAAACTAGGTTTTGATACCTGCCGTAGGCAGAGCACAGATAGCCCATTGTGTAGCTTTGTGCTTAACTACAAACAAATTTAAATTTGATATTATGGATGATTATATTGAAATTGAAAATAAAATTGGTGATTTTTATGGTTTGTCAACATATGAATACAATATGTCTGAGATAGAACACGGATAAAATTTTAGAAGAATTACAGTGAAAAAAATTTGATTTTACTTGCCTGGTATTTGTTGAAACTTAGCTCACAGATGATGATATGATATTTAATATTCAAGGTTATTCTGCATATTTTTCAAATAGGCAATACATAAAAGATGGAAACATTGCAGCTTATATTAAAGAGGAAATAGTGTTTGATGTTTGTCATATTCATTGGTTTTGAATGATAACATTGAATTTATAGCTTTGAAAATTAATGGTGATTTAAAAAATATTTATGGGAAGTTTGGAAAATATATTAGTTATGCTAATAAAGGAACAAACACTAATTATTATGCTGGGAAATTTTAGTATCAATCTTTTAAATAACCAGGGAAACATGTAAGTAACTTGTATGATTTAGTTTATTGTAATAAAAATAAAATTATAATAAATTTTAATTTGCCAGCAAAAAAAAGCTATATGTTAAATGATTATGTTGTCTTTAATTTGAAATTATTATGCTATTTTTATTTAATCAGTTCTTGCAATTTCTCAGATGGGAAACAAATAGCTTTAGAAAATGACAAAAAAGGATGAATTAGCTATAATTAATTGGGATACTTTATATGACATACATTATGTAAATGAAGCTTATGAATATTTTAAAGTTTTCTTGATATTACAATAGCTGTTTTCCTGTTGTAACAAGGAATGTCACATACAAAACATTTATTATAATCGATAGGAATAAACCTTCGATCAAGAATTACGAAAAAGAAAGTGAGAATAACAAATTAGTGTTTAAAAGTTAAATCGTATTCGAATAATGTATACCATGTTTAAATATAAATTATCAGCTTGTATTAGAAATAGCAAAAAAACTTATTATGATGGTATTGTTACGTCTCTGTTCGTCAGTTAATTTTCCGTATAATTTCTTTTCGAAGAAACTTTAGCGATACAAGTCCTTTCTTAAATAAAACTGATTTATTCTTTCTAAATACAACTTTGCACTACACTTAATTTCCACAGTCACGCTATAACAAACGCTATAATTCACAACGAACGTCACACGTGCTCGACTCAACAATACGTCTCTTTCTGTCCGCAGTTCAATTACACATTGTTGCCGTCAGTTCTTGGCGGCTTATATACAAGAATACCACATATCTAGTAACCTCTCGAGGTTTCATGAACGTTCTATAAGCGCATGACGTGTTACAAGTGTCACGTGACCTCAGCTGTCGTAACAGTGTGTTATTTTCGAAGATTGGTGCAAAAAATAAAGTAAATGGAATTGCATTAATGATTGATCATCAATAAAGCAGTCTGTTCGTGATATAATTGTTGATAATGTTATAACAACAGATTCACTAAGCAAAGCAAATGCACTTAATTTTTTGTTTCATAGAATAGAGCAATCAGTGAAACAAATCAATCTTAAGGATAATAAATATTAGTTTAATAATCGAAAATATAATATAAAATGTTTATTTGTGAAACCAATAATCATTGGTGAAATAATTTGTATATAAAATTTTTTGAACTAAAAAATCAGTTGGATTAGACAATATTTGAGTAGTTAGAAAAAATCATTGAGTGTTTTGATGTTCCATTCAATATATATTTGATTTAAGTATTGAAAAATAAATCTTTCCAGCATATTTGAAAAAGGCAAAAAGAATACCAATATTTAAAGGGGAGATAAAAGACAAATGAATAATTATAGCCCTATAATTATATTGAATATATTAACTAAAATATTTCGAAAAGGTAATTTACACAAGATTTGGGGATTTTGTTAATAAATTTGGTTTATGTGAATATTAGTATGGTTTCCTAAAGGCAAATCTGCACAAGTAGTTATTCAAGTTTTATGTGAAATTATTATTGATAATATGGAGAAAAGTAAATTTGTCATAACAATGTTTATGGACTTATCTAAAGCATTTGATGTGTAAGTTATAAGTTATTGTTAATAAATATACAATATAGGAGTAAGAGGTAAAATGTACAATTGGTTAGAGAGTTATTTAAAAAGTTGAATCTCAAAAACACTAATAATACTAATAACAAATATTCTGATGAATTAATATATATACAAAAGATGTTCCTCTCATCTCTTTTTTGGGAGCACTGTTGTTTTTATTATATGTTATGATATACCAGAAATATTATTTGATATAAAACATATTTTATTTACAGTTGATACTACAATATTAGCTCAAAATAATAATTTAGGGTGTTTAGTTGAAATGGTAAATTTGTTAATAGATAGGATAAATTATTGGCTAAGAGATTCTGATTTATTTGTAAATCTGAAAAAGACTAAAATTTATACATTTTTTTATAATTAAAATACAAATATTTATATAAATGGAGTACTGTTTGAAAGATGATCATCAACAAAGTTCTTGGGTATTACAATTGATGATAGATTAAATTGGTCTGAGCTGACAAGAACTATTAGAAATATTTTTGCAAGATATACAGGTATAACAAATAAATATAGTAAAATGATCAGTTTAAAGAAAATGTTTAATATATTTATTTTATAGTTTATCTATTCACGTTTAATATATGCAAATACTTGTTGGGAAGGTTTATCAAAAAATATAAATCCTTTGTTGCTTCTAAAAAAAAATACTTGTAAAAGAAGCTTTGAGTTTAAACTATTTGGATTCTGTGTATCTGTGACTTATGAAGTAAATTATTATTTGATAGGTAATTTTATGTTAATGATGAAAAAATTATTAATTAAGATATCCAGTCATCAACATTACAAAAATAACCAGGATATTCATTGTCATAATACAAGAAATTAATTCTAATTTACACATACTACTATTTAAAAAATCAACAAGCCAATATTCAGTAACTTATACAGGGGCAAAAAGTTTGAATTCTATGTCCAATAGTATAACAAAAAGATATGTTACAAAAACTATTTATTAAATTTATGATTTACTTAGTTATTTTGATATCTAATTTAAAACATATATGATACTACTGTCAGCTAGTGGTATCAAATATATTGAAAGCTGTAATTCTGTGTGTATGTATCTATGTTAATTTTATCTTTTTGGCCCGACTCGCAATCTGAGGGTCGCAGGTTTGAACCCCGTCCCG